AAATAAATAAATAAATAAAATCTTTAAAAAAAAAATTATATATGTGGCTCGCATTCTGTTTCTATTGAACAGAGCCATTCTAGAGAGTAGGTCAACACAAATAAAGTGTTTAAATATGTGGCCGAGCAGAAGGCTGCTTAACTTTACATATAGATCAAGGACAATTGTCATTCTAGCCTGTCAGGCACAAGGTAGTGGGGAATTAAGAATATATGAAGTGTCACTCTAAGGGAAGATCATTGACTTAATTGAGTACACCTGAATGAATATTGCCACCTGTAAACTCATACCAATGACACTGCCAAAAGTATCCCAAATATACATGAAATTCCTCCTTTGGCAATGTCTGCAGGGCCAGTGACATGACAGAGTGTCCTCAGTGGCGCCAGATCTGTGATTCTCAGAGCTTTTAAAGTGCAGCAAACGAGAGGCTAGGGGAACTGATGAGGCAGCTGCTGTCTGCTGGGGCGCCATAAATAGCTTTGATAAAATAGTGCGGTATTGGAGTGTTTAATGACTGGACAATGAAATGGTTCAGAAAAACAATGTTTGTGCACACAATTGCCTACAGGTACATAGATAAAACCAGTGTGGCAGAATGTTAAGTGATGACTGAATCTAAGTGGTAAGTGTACAGGTGACCGTTGTACCAATCTTCCCATTTTTCTGGAGGTTAGAAATTGTGCATAAGAAGAAGTGGAAAATCAGTCTAGCTTGGTGCCTGGCACATAAGAGACACTTCATCAACCCTGGTCCCCTCCCCCAGACCAGCACTATCCAATGAAACGTTCTGCAATGATAGACATGCCCTGTGTCTGCTGTCCACTCTAGTCACCACTGGGCGCTTGTGGCTAGTGTGACCGAGGAGCTAAATTTTTAATTTTAATTAATTTCAGTTGAAATAGCCACATGTGGCCACTGGCCATCTGTATTGGACGGCACAGCTTTAGGTTCCCCTGGGACTGGCGAGGAAGGTCTGTCCCCAGCGTCTCTAAGCTCCAGTCCTTCCTGCAGGAGGTACCCCTCACAACAAAAGTCTGGACCCCTCATTTCAGAACAGCAGGAGGTGAGGCAGAGCCCCTGGCTTCTAATGCTTTCCCACAGCCACTGTTGGTCCTAGAACTGCTGTGGGGCCACATTTCGCAGCGACGGCGTTAGTGTGGTTGGTAACCTGCGGAGTCTCTACTAGGCAGTGGAGGGGCTGGGCTCTGTTCTCCTGAGTCAGAACCCCAGCGCCAGCTACCTCACCACAGGGCTTCTTGGGGGCAGTCAGGGTTACCCAGAGAAGACTGGGAAGCACAGACCAGGAGTTTGGGATTGCTCCATAGGTTCATTAGCTTGGTCAACATGGATGCGAGCCCACATCAGGCCCTGACTGAAGCACAGGGGCAGTCATAGCTGGTCCTCAGCTCCCTCCCTGGTGGACCCAGTGGAGGAGAGAGACAAAGTCTTAGCTCCAAGTGAGGAAGAGCAAGGCCACTCCCGAGTAGAGGGCAAGAGAGCACACTGGGGTGATGGGGAACAGGTGGGCTATCCTGGTGGGGGAGCAGGGAGGGCATCCTGCAGATGTGCGACACTGCACACACTCAAAGGCTCTAAGGAAAGTCGGTGTGAGGAAGGCGCCGGGGCCTAGTGTGGCAGGCGGTGGGCACTCACCTGCAGCAGGCATGTCAGAGCATGTGCCGCTCTCTCCCCCAGGAGTATATGCGCATGATGGGGCTCAGCAGCTGGCTGCACTGGAGTGCTTGGTTCCTCCTCTTCTTCCTCTTCCTCCTCATCGCTGTCTCCCTCATGACCCTGCTCTTCTGCGTCAAGGTGAGTGTGGCTTTGAGAGAGGGTATGATGTGAAGAGCATGGCTTTCAAGTTGACAGGAGAGCCAGAGGCAGCCATAGCACCACCAGGGAGATCCCAAGACTCCACCTGTACGGACTTCAGTAGAGAGGACAGTGGCCTTCTCCCTCAGTGTAGCCCTGTCTCCCGTCCTTACCAGTTTCATTTGTGGCCGGGAATGGTTAAGACTCTTCCTGGTTTTGTCTCCACCTTCCCTGCCACATCCCATGCTGACCGATGGGGTGGGACGCTGCGCAGGTGAAGAAGAACGTGGCGGTGCTCACACACAGCGACCCGTCGCTGGTGCTGGTCTTCCTGGTGTGCTTTGCCATCTCCTCCATCTCCTTCAGCTTCATGGTCAGCACTTTCTTCAGCAAAGGTGAGTCGTCCTGCCCTCCTGGGAACAGAGGACAGTGGGGTGATCCAAATCTCAGAAAACCGGGCAGTTTCTTTTGGAATGAGTAGAAATAACCCAGAGACTGTGCTTTCCTTTGGATTCCATTCTCTGGGTGTTGAAGTACGTGCTTGAATAGTTCTTTTAATGAAGCTCAATGAGTGGTTAATTCTCTTTGACTTTATGTCCAAAGATATCTTTATTTTCCCCTCACTCATGAATAATATTTTAGCTGCATATAAAATTCTCCATGGATGGATATTTCACTTGGCACTTTGATAATGTTGTCTTATTACCATCAGATACCAGTTATTGTTGGGAAGAAGTCTCCTGACAGTCTAGGTGTGATTTTTCTTTATTTATGAATGTTTTGATCTGAAGAATCATGTCTTTTTTTAGTCCTACAAAATTTCAGTTAGACTTTGATCAGATTCTGCTTTGCATTATTGCTATCATTCTCTTCAGTTAGACCTTTGTTGGAGCCTCTCAGTTTGTTCTTCATGTCTCTTAACTTCTTTCTTTTTTTTATTGTGATAAAATACACATAACATAAAATTTACCACCTCACCCATTTTAAGTGTACAGTTCGGTGGTATTAAGTATGTTTATGTTTTTGTGCAGCCATCACCACCATCCATCTCCAGAACTCTTTTCATCTTCCCAAACTGAAATTCTGTCCCCATTAAACAACTCCCCATTCCCTTCTCCCCCCAACCCTTGGAAACCATTATACTTTCTGTCTCTATAAATTTGACTACTCTAGGTACCTCATGTAAGTGGAATCATACAGTATTTGTCTTTTTGTGACTGGCTTATTTCATTTCACATAACGTTTTCAGGGTTCATCCATGTTGTAGCATATGTCAGAATTTTCTTCCTTTTTAAGGCTGAGTAATTTTCCATTGTATGTATATACCACATCTTGCTTATCCATTCATCAGTCACTGGACACTTGGGTTGCTTCCATGTTTTAACTATTGTGAATAATGCTGCTGTACAAATATCTCTTCAAGACCTTGCTTTCAATTCTTTTGGATACATACCCAGAAGTGGAATTGCTAGATCATATGGTAGTTCTATTTTTAATTTTTCGAGCAACTTCCATACTGTTTTCCGCAGTGGCTTTACCATTTTACATTCCCACCAACAGTGCACACATTTCTCCACATCCTCACCAATGCTTGTTATTTTCTGGGGGTTTTTTTTATAGTAACCATCCTGTTGGGTGTGAGGTGGTATCTCTCAGTCTCTCCTTCATGTCTCTTAACTTTTTTTTTATACGTTAAAAAATCTCTTTGTGCTGAGTTCTCTGTGAATTGAACTCTCTCTTTGGAGTTGTCTTCCAATTGCCTAATTCTCTCTTTGACTATGTGTGTTCTAGAATGTATCTCATCTTTTGAGATTTTTTTTTTCTATGACTATGTTTTATCAGCTATCTAGTTGATTCTTGTACATATCCACTTATTCTTGTTTCTTTATCCGTTTTTGTAAGAAAAAAATCCTCTTTTTTTTAATGGAAGCATTTCTTCAGTTGCTCCTGAAAATCCTTGACATTCTTATTTTGAAGTTTTTCTCTTTTCTACTTATACTCGTTCCCTTGGAGAGCTTTGAACATGTGGATAATTCCCAAATTTAGATCTCCAGCTTAGGCTTCTCTCCTGAAATTCAGACTCATACCCAACAACTTCCCTGAGATGCTTAATATGCACCTCAATCAGAGCATTGCCAAACCTAAATTCCTGATCTTATCCTCAAAACCTCATTCCCCCATCTCTATTAGTGGCACTCCATCCTTCTGATTGCTCACACTGATAACCTTGGAATCATCCTCCACTCCTCTCTTCCTCTCACATCCTGCTCCACATCCAGTTCTCAAGTCCTATCAGCAGTACTGTCAAGATACACCTGAACTCCAACCACTTCTCACCTCCACTGCCCTACCCTGGCCCAAACCGCCATCATCGCTGGCCTGGTTTATGGTGGTGGCCTCATAACTGGTCTCCCTGCTTCTGCCCTTGCCACCCTTCAGTTCTCAATGTAACCAGTAGTGTGATCCTCTGAAAATGTAAGCCAGAGCCTGTCATTCTTCTGCTCAGACCCTCTTGTGTCTGTGGGTCTCGCTCAGGAAAAGCTGAAGCCCCTGCCCAGCCCAGACCTCACTGGCTGCTGCTCTCTGCCCATTTGCTCCAGCCCTGCCACGCTCCCTTCTCATGGCTCTGGCCTCCACCTAGGTCAGAGATTCTCAAAGTGCAGTCCATGGACTCCTGGGGGTCCCCAAGGACCTTAAAGGGGCTCGCAAAATCAAAACTATGTTTGTAATAATACCAAGATGTCATTTGCCTTTTCTACCGTGTTGACATGTGCACTGATGGTACAAGAGCAAAGGTATGTAAAACCACCAGCCCTGAGCACAAAGCTAGACAGGTCCCAGATGGTACCAGGCATTGTGTTCTTCACTACCACATGCTCCAGGAAACAAACAAACAAACAAAAAAATGCAAGTCTCCCTCAAGAATGTCCTTGATGGAGCAGTAAAAATTATTAATTTTATTAAACCTTGACTCTTAAGTATACTTTTATAATATCTTCTGTGACGAAATGAGATGTCCATGTAACGTTGCATACTGAAGTATAGTGATTATCTCCAGGGAAAGCATGTGGGCAGTTGTTTGAGTTGTCAGCTAAACTAGCTACTTTGTTCATGGAACACAATTTTTGCTTGAAAGAGCAACTATCAGATTATAGCTATTCATACTTGAGTATTTGGCAGGCATTTTCTCAAAGATGAGCTGTCTTTTAAGGAAAACAACTGACAATATCTAATATCAATTACAAAATTTGAGTTTTCAAGCAAAAAATGGAGTTTTGCAAACTTGAATCTACCACTGTAAGCTTCCCAGAACTAAGTTTTTTATGAGATTAGTGATAGTATTCCCAATGTGATTTTTTTATGTTGTATGTGTCAACGTTTGGAAGATCTATATAGCTCAACAAGCAATATTTTCCAAAAGACCAATGCATCATGTTACAAAATCATGCAAGAGTAATAACCCATTCAAAGTGCAAGATAGACCAGTGGATTTTCATGTAACAGAGTAGGAAAAGTTCATTGGTTAGTTCAATTCTACATGGCACCTAAACTAATCTTTGAGAAACTGCCACTTATCGAGTGGTAGTTGAGTGGTGTAGTATCAAAAAAGGATATCCACAAAGATCAGAAAAGGCTATTCAGATGCCTCTCCCTTTTCCAACGACTTATCCATATGAAGCTGGATTTTCTTCATGTACTTCACCCAAAACAATGTAGTCATCCCTCAGTATCCATGGGGGATCGGTTCCAGGACCCTCCGAGGATGCTCAAGTTTCTAATATAAAATGGTATAGTATTTGCATAGAACCTACACCCATCCTCCTGTATACTTTAAATCATCTTTAGATTATTTATAATACCTGATACAGTGTAAATGCTATGTAAATAGTTGTTATACTGTATTGTTTAGGGAATAATGACAAGAAAAAAACGTCTGTACGTGTTCAGTACAGACACAACCATCATAGGCCTTTCAATCCGAGGTTGGTTGAATGGGTGGATGTGGAACCCACATATACGGAGAGCCGACTGTAATACAACAGAGTGAATGCAGAAGCAGATATGAGAATCCAGCTGTAACCTGTTAAATGAGACATTACAAAGGTTTGCAAAAATGTAATACAATGCCACTCTTCTCACTAGATTGTGAGAAATATAGTTGTTTTTCATAAAAATATTTATGTTGACTTGTAATGGGTTTAAATTTTCTTAGTATTAATTTCTAATACTAAGAATATACACATATATATATAAATAAATAACCCACAGAAACAAAAGTTCTTTTGATATCCTTAATAATTTTCAAGGGCATAAAGGTGTCTTGAGACCAAAGCATTTGAGGGCCACGGCATGGACTAAAACCATGCTGTTCTTCCCACACCTCCACGACCCAGTCCTCACCTTTTTCAGGTCTCTCCCACGTGTCACTTTTTCATCAAAACCTTCCTTGGCAACCTGGCAGTCACAGCCCCCGGCCCAGGGAACGTCTTGTCCCATTCTGTGCCTCGTTGCCCTGCACAGGGCTGCCCTTTCCAGCACACTCTCTTACTTAGTGTTTACTGTCAGTGTCCCCACGGGATTATAAGCTCCAGGAGGGGAGGGGGTTTGTCTGTTTTGTTTGTGGCAGTCTCCCTGGTGCCTGGAACAGGGCCTGGCACAGAGTAAGTGCTCAGCAAGTGTCAGCGAATGAATGAGTGAACCATATGGAGCAGACCAGGGGAGAAGCAGGGCTGGGGCGGGGTGGGTCGGGGCTCAGTATTGGTCACGTCGGGTGTGTGATGTCAAGGCAACGGGAGGTGAAGTCTGCAGGAGAGGGCTGGAGAAATCACTGAAGGGTCCCCGGGATGGGGAGGACACGTGCAGCCCTAGGCAGGGCCACATTCCCTAGGGCACATGACACCCCCCTCCAATCCCCCCCCCCCACAACAAGGAAGAGGCAGCAGGCCAAGCCTGGAGTCCTCCAGCACTGGGGCTTGTGTCCCTGTGTCAACGGCTGATGCCTTTGTACCGTGGGTGGAGCACGGACTCCCTCTGAACACGTTCATGCAAATGTTCTTGCATGTTCTTAGCGCACTTGTCTTCCTCTCTCCACCTATAGCCAACATGGCAGCAGCCATAGGGGGCTTCCTCTACTTCTTCACATACATCCCATATTTCTTCGTTGCTCCTCGATACAACTGGATGACTCTTAGCCAGAAGCTTTTCTCCTGTCTCCTGTCCAATGTTGCCATGGCAATGGGAGCCCAGCTCATAGGAAAATTTGAAGCGAAAGGTGAGTGTTTTCCTTTTCACAAGCTGCCCTTGCTGATTCAGTTACACTGAGAGAGTCTAAGTAGAGGTGCCTCCTGCACTCAGACGCCAGCTCCGATAACAAACAGGCACACCAGGACAGCTAAAGGAGTAATGTGTTTGGAAGACACGTCCCTGGTGATGGGGAAGCTCACACACAGGGCAGACTGGCAGGCGTGACAGGAGCCATAAAGGAGGTGGGTCACAGACAGCGTGGTTCACAGGACAGAGGGTAAAAGTGTCCAGTGCGGCATCGGCCACCACTTGCCAGAGTAGTCCTGGCTTTGAGTTCCCCTCGAGGCCCTGCCTGGAACCAGCCGTTACTGCAGGAAACCCCTGGATGTGAGGATCTACATCTGCCAATGGTGGGATTCAACTCGATGACCTCTGAGTCTCTTCCTGCCTCTTGAGGCATTCAGAATTATGACACCAGAGGCCTCAAAGTCTACGGGTTTTGATCAACTCCTAGCTCTTAGTAAAGTGGTAGAATTAGCATCTTCCCCTCCTCTTGCTCCCCAGTACCTCCTGCAATAATTGGCGATGAGGGCAGGGATGCCTGAGAGAGAAACAAGTGATAGACCAGATCATTATTTTCTTGACTTTTGTGAAATTTCCTGATTTTTAAAATATCACAGAGGTCAAATAAACACTGCTTTGGGCTAGCTTTGGCCTGTGGGCTCCCATTTTGCAAACCTGTGGTAGATGCTCAGATTTCAATGGATGGAGTCAAGCCTACTCCTCTAAAGGGATGAGAGGGGGGCCAGCCCGGTGGCGTAGTGGTTGAGTTCACACGCTCCCGCCCGGAGTTCGCAGGTTTGGATCCCGGGCGTGGACCTACGCACTGCTCATCAAGCCGTGCAGTGGTGGCGTCCCACATACAAAATAGAGGAGGAGAGGCAGAGATGTTAGCTCAGGGCCAATCTTCCTTACCAAATAAATAAATAAAGAGATGAGAGGACACTTAACCCCTCACCCCCTGGGAAGTCTCCGGAAATGGAGAACTCACCTCCTAGGAGAAGGCCCCATTTGTTTCCCAATCACTCAAACCCTTCTCAGGGAAGGGCCTTGAGAGGCAAATGAACTCAGACCCAGCCCTGCCTCTCTCCCGCTTGCTTTGGGTTTAAGAGGAGGCACGAGGGGTGAGGAAGAGTTTCTGCATGGCTGGTGTTTTGCTGGCATCCGTCTCCCTGGAGCTTCTGCCTGTTGTTCTGGCTCTACTGGCAGGAGTAAAGTACAATCTGTCTTCTAAATGACTGACCTGTGTGCATTTTAAGACCATTTCGGCTCTGCTCCATCCAGATGTACCTTTTTTCAGGCTGAGTGCTCTCATTTCTTCCAGCCATGCAATTCCTCGCTGTTGTAGCTTCCTAGTTGTGGGTTATGGAAGAAGGCACAGGAACCTTCAGTGTGGCTTTATCTTTAATTAGAATTTTTTTCTTCAATTGGCAATCTAACGCTTTGCCTTTTAAATATATATGTTTCCGTGTTTAGTAGCATGTGATAAAATGTAGACTTTTTAAATGCACAGTCCCTTCCAGGGTTCAAATACTTTTTAAAAAGCCACTTATAAAGAGGAATCTACTATATGGCACCTGTTGTTTTTCAAAGTTCTATACCAAATTTTCTCAAAACAAATTTCTAGTTGTTTGAAAGTGAACATTGACCAAGGCCAGAGAGCAGCCGTTTCCATTGGGACCCTCGAGCCAACAGAGGGTGGTCCAGCCACACGGAATCCCCAAGCATCGTTTGGATGTGATATTGCAAACCAGAGAGAAGACAAAATGCTATGAGCACCACTAAACAGAGCTTTCGATGTGTCTGAAGTATTTCTGTGTTTTAAAAAGACTTATATGAAATGCACACTGTTCCAGTGTTGGCCTTGCCCCAAATCATATCTGTGTAGATGTGTATGTTCATATGTGTGTTCGTACATGTATATGTATACGTGTGTCGTGTATATGGATGTGCATATATGTCATAAATCAAACGTGAGCCCATCTAGTCAGTTAATGAGCTTTTGCTGGTTCTCTAACCTACCAATTTTGTAACTTACTGTTGTCTTAAAGCCTGAAAGTCAGCAGATTTGCTCTACAACCAGGAGGGGAGGAGTCATGACGACCTTGCAGTGACATGCACACGTGTGCCGTCAGGGGCTACGGGCCCGTTTCAGGCCCATTTCCTGGTGTGTCTTTCAGGCACGGGCATCCAGTGGCGAGACCTCCTGAGTCCTGTCAACGTGGACGACGACTTCTCCTTTGGCCAAGTGCTGAGCATGCTGCTGCTGGACTCCGTCCTCTATGGCCTGGTGACCTGGTACGTGGAGGCCGTCCTCCCAGGGCAGTTCGGCGTGCCCCAGCCCTGGTACTTCTTCATCATGGTGAGTTCTGACACCTCTGCTCTTCACGCTGGCCACCTCTGTCGGGTGGAGGTGTCCCCAGCACTCACCCTGGGCCCCCTCTAGTCCCTGACACATGACGCCTAGTCGGGCCTGGGTAGAGGGCTTGCCCTGTGCCCAGGCAATGAGCGGTATGTCCTAGAGGCCCTGAGACCCTCCACCACCCAAGATGATCCCTGCACTCCAGGGTCTTGGAGAAGGAGCTCGCGCTGGGCCCACGGTCCACAGGACCGGCGCACCCACACCCCCTACCTTGTTTCTCGAAAAAATACTGGGTTTTCTGCTTACAAAGTAGTACAGCTTCTTGTAAGAGTGATTGCATTGCTGGAATTTACAGCACAATCCCTCCACCCAGAGGTGAACACTGCTGACACTTTAGTGTGTAGTTCTTCAGATCTTTTCTGTGCATATACTATCGTGTAGCATACACGTATGTTATATGACATTTATACATTTGTTTTTAGAAAAAGAGGACCGTAGTTTTAAAATGCTTGAAACTTGGTTTGTTTTTTTTTACCTAACAGTACATCTTAGATATCCTAAGTACATATATGTGTGGATCTGTTTATAAAATAAACTTTTGGACTTTTATCTATACATATTTATAAATTTTGTTTTATTTATAACTATCTTTATATTTAAATTTATACATTTTTATGAATCAACTTCAGTATTTAATGAGTGCACAGTATTCCAAGAATGTGCCACCATATATTTAACTAATTGCCTATTGATGGTTAGTTAGGTGCCACTCTATTGTTCATTCTTTGATTCACAACTATTTATCAAGCGTCCACTATGTATTTCATCAAATCTAAAATGCTACTCATTTTTACAGGCACCATTACTTTATCACCAAGAGAGAAAAATACAGTTAAACTATGGCATTCCATGATTTGTAAGACACATTCTGATTTCAGAGTTTAAAACGTGAGAAATGTGTCCCCTAAAACCAATGGAATATGATGAGCCAGCACTATTCCAGGCACTGGGAACACACCAGGAATACAGCTGTGGGTTAAACAGATTCACCCCACAGGGCATACATCTGGGGGCAGTTCTTCCAAGGCCCTGTTCTCACCTTTCCCATGACCCTGCCCACACCACTGCCTTACTGTGCCGTAAGCCACCCTTGAGCACAGGGAGCGTGTGTGGTTTGTGATTGTATTCTCACCCCTCACACAGCCTGTTGCTGTGATGGCTAGACAGAGGGTGGAGGATCGTCCTCTAGACAGAGAGTGGAGGGTTTTCCTCTAGACAGAGGGCATGGGGTTGTCCTCTAGATAGGGGTGGAGGGTCATCCTCTAGACAGAGGGTGGGGGGTCATTATCCAGACAGGGTGGAGGGTCGTCCTCTAGACAGAGGGTGGAGGGTTGTCCTCTAGACAGAGAGTGGGAGTCGTTGTCTAGACAGAGGGTAGAGAGTCATCCTCTAGACAGAGGGCTGGGGGTTATCCTCTAGACAGAGGGTGGAATGTCGTCCTCTAGACAGAGGGCTGGGAGTTGTCCTCTAGACAGAGGGTAGAGGGTCGTCCTCTAGACAGAGAGCTGGGAGTTGTCCTCTAGACAGAGGGTGGAGGGTCATCCTCTAGACAGAGGGTGGATAGGGAGGGGCCTCCTCATAGCAGAGGGAGGCCCGGCCCTTTTGCTTCTCTTGCTTATTTCATGAGCTCCTGTATAGCTAAGTAAGGATGCAGTCAGGGCATGGAGACACAGCCTCCTTTGTTTTTGCCCTGATGTCGACGGAATGTTCAGTAACCTGTCTGTATATGCAGTGTCATTGTTTACTTTTCCTCTGTGTCGTATCTGAGTTGATAGGCACAATAAGCCTGTGAGTTACCGTTATGGCCATATGGTAGATTGGGAAACTTAGCTGAGAGCTTCCCCAGAATACATGAGTGAGGAGCCGTGCTGGATCTTGACCCCACCCTGGGACTTGAAGTGGCGTCTTCTCTGCAGCAGCGTGCCCTGCGGGGGAAGACTGAGGGCTGGGTGCTGCGGGTATCTAACATGTTGGTTAGTTGTTTCTTGGTTTGTCACAAACAAAATTAACTGACATGAATTGGCCATTGAAACCCACCTGGTTTCCGTCCTAGCCCTCGTACTGGTGTGGGCGCCCGAGGACGGTGTTAGGGAAAGAGGAAGAAGACGACGACCCTGAAAAAGTGCTCAGAACTGAGTACTTTGAGGCCGAGCCGGAGGACCTGGTGGCTGGGATCAAGATCAAGCATGTGTCCAAGGTGCCACGCCCTATGGGGACTGCGGGGGATCGGGGATGCCCGTGGCTGCTCTCTGACCGGCTTTCCCAGGCTGTGTGTCCCCAGGGCCCAGTTCTGGGTCGAGTCAGTAACACATGCCACCCAGACTTAACCTCTTACCAGCCTTGTAGTGAACGCTTGCTGTGCTCACTGCACCGCAATGCCTTGGCCTCACAGGCCTTTTGGTTCTGCCAAGACACCGATGGTGTTGGAGACTGGTCAGGGGTGGGGGAGGCCAGAGAGTAGTAGCAAGCAGCGCGGCCTCCAATCAGTGCTCTGCCCCAAACTTCTTGCCTCTCTGTGTGATGATTGGTAACACTGGGCGTAGTCTCCTTCCAAGACCCTCAGGTCAGTATTCCAGAGGGAGTCGCAGGGGCCTGTCCAAGTGAAGCCTCTGAAGGGTCGCAGAAGTCCAGGGCGGCCCTCTGCCTTTCCTGCAGGTGTTCAGAGTGGGGAACAAGGGCAAGGCAGCCGTCAAAGACCTGAACCTGAACCTGTACGAGGGGCAGATCACTGTCCTACTGGGCCACAACGGCGCAGGGAAGACCACCACCCTCTCCATGCTCACAGGTGAGTGGCCACGGCCTCTGTCTCCACCATGGCTGGGAGCGGGGGTTACTGGCCAACTCACTCACAGGCAGACTGCTCCATAAAGCTAAGCGAAACCCCAGGAGCGAGGCCAAGTTTTCCCACCTCATGCTGACTGGCAGGATGTTCGTGCTGGACTTAAGCCCCTGGGGTGTTCTGCTCCGCCCTAGGCCTCTTCCCCCCGACCAGTGGACGGGCGTATATCAGTGGGTACGAAATTTCGCAAGACATGGTTCAAATCCGGAAGAGCTTGGGCCTGTGCCCTCAACACGACGTCTTGTTCGACAACCTGACTGTCGCAGAACACCTGTACTTCTATGCTCAGGTGAGCTGGTGGGTGACAGGATTCGTAGGTGGTTGTGGTTTTTCAGTCGCCTTGGGTTCCTGAGGCAGCCAGGTGAGCCCTTAACCTCCCAGCAAACCAAAACCTGCTCCGAGGAGCTGCAGATCTGGAGTAAGGGAGGGAAGTCAGGATGCCAAGTCCAGCACACAAAGGGAGGGAGACAACGCCAAGGCCAAGTGGCCAGCCGCCCATCAGAAGCCCCTGCCGGATCTCTCTGTCCCCTGCTGTTTCAGCTGAAAGGCTTGTCACGCCAGAAGTGCCCTGAAGAAGTCAAAAGGATGCTGCACATCCTCAGTCTGGAGGACAAGCGGGACTCACGGTGCAGGTTCCTGAGTGGGGGCATGAAGCGCAAGCTCTCCATCGGCATTGCCCTCATAGCGGGCTCCAAGGTATGGGACAGCGAGGCCCAGCCTCCTGAAGAACACAGGTCAGGGCCCCCACACACGGTGGACAGACACTCGGGGCAGCAAGGTGCGGTTGGATGTGCAGTCTGGCCTGGGCGGTACTGCTGCATCTCCAGAGAACTCGAGCCGCACAGGGCCTACAGCACAGCCAGCCTGGGCCTGGGATGGGGCTCTGCCATCGTCATGAGGCTTTCCTCTGCTCTCCAGGTGCTGATGCTGGACGAGCCCACCTCAGGCATGGACGCCATCTCCAGGAGGGCCATCTGGGACCTTCTTCAGCAGCAGAAAAGTGACCGCACCATCCTGCTGACCACCCACTTCATGGACGAGGCCGACCTGCTGGGGGACCGCATCGCCATCATGGCCAAGGGGGAGCTGCAGTGCTGCGGGTCATCACTGTTTCTCAAACAGAAATATGGTGAGCAGCTGACAGCAGGAAGCAGGGCAGGCAGCCCAACCTCCGTTCCATCACAGGGTCAGCGTCACTGGCCCAGTGTGCTGAAAAGAGTGCCTGCTGTACCTTTCACGAAGGGCCCCTGAGGTCAGGCAGGGAGAGGCCTTCTCTAGACTTCCTGTTCTGTTGCCTCTGGACGGAGACCCGAGGCCTCAGGCAGAGGGGCTCGTGAGAATGAGAAGGGAAGGGAACGGAGCAGATAGTCTTGATTTGGTTAGGATGATGTTCAGCCTGAGCAATGGAATAGCGGTTGAGCCCCAGGGCCACCAAGAGCAGCGGTACCCTTGGAGAGGCCAAGCACGCTCGCCAGCATTGTGGCTCTCAGACAAATGAGTGGCTCGCCAGGAGGTCCAGGGCTGGTGGGTGGCATGTGGAATTAGCCCCCTCTTTGCTGTGTGAGCTTGGCTTCCCTTCTCGAGGTCAGCTCATGGTCCACTGTGGTGCTGGCATGGCAGGTCCCATCCATGTTCTGCCAGCGAGAAGGAGTGAAGACAGGAGACAAGTGCCTCTCCCCTTAGACACCCCAGGGATTGCACACCTTGCTTCTGTGGCTTCTCCTGACCAGCACACAGCCCCATCGAGCAGATGGTGACCCGATATGGTTACCATCAGGCTAAGGGGAGGTTGGGGAGGACGACCTTCATCCTGGGGTTCCATTACCAGGAAAGTGGGGAGTAAAGTCTTGGGGACAGTTTCTACCACATCCTCGGAGACTAGAAGTCCAAAGTCAGGCTCAAGTTTCACCTCTTTATTGTGCTCAGTGCCCCTTCCCTGGTAGGATGTGGAAAGTGAGACCCGCAGGACAGCTCTGAGGCGCTCTGAGATGCATTCATGGTTCAGGTGCCCTGGCTCTCCAGCCCTTTTCCCATGAGCTCAAGGGCCCAGGTGAGCCAGGAGAAGTAGGAGGCAGCCTCACGTGGGGCTCCATGGTGTTCCAGGCGCAGGCTACCACATGACACTGGTGAAGGAGCCTCACTGCAACCCCGAGGGCATCTCCCGGCTGGTCCACCACCACGTCCCCAACGCCACCCTGGAGAGCAGCGCTGGAGCAGAGCTGTCATTCATTCTTCCCAAGGAGAGCACGCACAGGTATGCATCCCAGGGAGAGCACACAGGTACATATCCCAGAGAAAGCATGCACAGGTATGTGTCCCGGAGAGCACACAGGTACGCATCCCAGAGAGAACACACACAGGTACATGTCTGATAGAGAGCACACACAGGTATGTGTCCCTGAGGGAGCACACACAGGTGCGCATCCCAGAGGGAGCACACAAGTATGCACATGTACGTGTCCTAGAGGGGACACACACAGGTACACGTCCCAGAGAGAGCACACACAGGTGCATGTCCCAGAGGGAGCAGACAAGTATGCATCCCAGAGAGAGCACACAGAGGTACGCATCCCAGAGGGAGCACACACAGGTGCGTGTCCCAGTGGAAGCACCCAGGTATGCATCCCAGAGAGAGCACACACAGGTTCACGTCCCAGAGAGAGCACACACAGGTGCACGTCCCACTGGGAGCACACAAGTACATTTCCCAGAGAGAGCACACACAGGTGCGTGTCCCAGAGGGAGCACACAGGTGTGCGTCCCAGAGAGAGCACACACAGGTACGCGTCCCAGAGGGAGCACACAGGTATGCGTCCCAGAGACAACATACGCAGGTATGGGTCCCAGAGGGAGCGCACAGGTATGCATCCCAGAGAGAGCATGCACAGGTACTCATCCCACAGGGAACAAACCCACATACAGATCAGAGAAGGGGGCTCAGTGGGCCTTCGGGGCTCCATGCCTAGAGTCACCCGCTCTGCACCTGTCAGGCTTGGCCAGTGGGCATCTCTCAGCTCCTGGGCCTGTGACCATCAGTGCATAGTGGATCTGCTTGCTGGGTCCAGGTTGCCAGGCCTCCCTGTGCAGTGGGGCTGGGAGAAACCTAACTTGTGCCTGAGCAGAAAAGAGTCTGACTCATCAAATGGGTGCTCAGTGCATTGGTGCCATTCACACGTGGCATGTGGCTCACTCCTAACTCAGCGTTAAACGTATGCAGCAGCCCACTCAGAATTATTTGTGGAATTGTGAATTTGTGTATCTCGTTGATCTCAGAATTTGAGTCATGGACATGTGTCTCATAAACAGAGCAGACTACCAGTAGGGAGATAAAAACCAAGCTCTTGATTCACATTCAGAAACTTTGGGATGTAAATCTTAAAAGTACATTTAATCTTGCTGCAAGCCCGATTGAGTAATGTGGTTTCAGTAACCTCATAGTGTTCCCTGACCCAGATATACCATAGTTTATTTAACATATAGTTTGTTAGCATATGCTCATGTTTTTCCCCCCAAAATATGCTAATGAACATCCTTCTAGAAAACTCTTTGTCCAGATGTCCAGTGTCCCCTTAGGATAGATTCCCAAGAATGGGATAAATATTACCAGATTCCCTTCTAGAAAGGAGGTGCATTGGACTTCCCCATCAGCAGAACTCTCAGGAGAGTATCCATTTACTCCATGGTTGCCAATTTTGAGTAAATTTTTTTTTTAATATTTGTGTATCTATCTAATGGATTAGAATGGCACACACTTGCTTAATTGCATTTTGTGTTTCTTCCATCCTGCTGGCGGGAGGTTAACATTCCCACTGCTTACTGGCCTTGAAGCATTGCTTCCTTTGGATACTGTGTTCATGTCTCTTGCTCATTTATTAGTCAGAGTGTTTTATATATTAACATCAACCATTTTTGTTGCAACTTTTTCCAATTTGTTGTTGCCTAATTTTGTGGGATGTTTTTTCCATGCAGATATTTTACATTTAATGGGTCATATCTTTTCCTTTGTGATTCCTTCTTAGAAAGTGCTTCCCTACCCTGCGATAGAATGAGTATTCACCATTTCTTTTTGTTTGCTTTGTGATGTCATGTAGATGTATACTCTCAAAGAATGCCTAACAGGCCAAAATACTCACAGGATGCTACGTGGGAAAAAAAAAGCAGGGAACAAAACCCAGCTTTTTTTTAATTGAGGTCACATTGGTTTATAACATATAAATTTCAGGTGTACATCATTATATTTTGACTTCTGTGTAGACTGCATCATGTTCACCACCAATAGTCTAGTTTCCATCCGTCACCACACACACAAGTACCCCGTCACCCCTTTTGCCCTCCCCACCACCATCTTCCCTTCTGGTAACCACCAATCTGTTCTCTGTATCTATGTGTTTGTTTATCTTCCACATATGAGTGAAATCATACGGTATTTGTCTTTCTCTTTTTGACTTATTTTGCTTAGCATAATACTCTCAAGGTCCGTCCATGTTGTCACAGATGGCAAGATTTCGTGTGTTTTTATGGCTGAGTAGTATTTCATTAT